GCAATCAGATGAAATGAAAGCCACAATCCGAGAATCTGCGACGAATTCGTCCCCACACTGGTGTTGACGGCACCTAAACGACACAAACAAGATTAAAGATGAGCTCTCATAAAACTGCATGGTATGAGTGGGGGAAGTTACTGACGGATGAGGACGTCCATTTTGGCCAATGTTCGATTCGATCGTCGACGGATACACCGAACGGAAAGGCGAGGGTGCTCTCCAAGCCCCCCAAAAAAAGAGAAAGAAAACCAAACGAGTGAAGGAGAAAGAGAACAAAAAAGCAGACGGTACGGAAACAAGAACAGTGGGCGTAGCGCGCGCGCGTGAGCGAGGCCTAAGACCTTGGCCGTTTCTCTCACCCTGATCGATGACCGGCAAGAGCGACGTGCCTCACAACCGTCAATTGCACGCCCAAATGAGAGGCTAACAAGTGAGAAAGGCATACCCGCAATCGGGATCTTACATAGCTTGGTTCGAGAGCGCTAGGGCAAGTAGTCGTGGTGGGTTGGTAGATTCATGAATAAAATGCTCTTGTTGTCCATAAGGATTATGGTTCGTACGCGGGGTGTCGCGCTGTCCAATTCACGAGTCGAGACGGCCTCCCCGGTTTGGGTGGTTCTAGCCATACTGGCCGAGTACCTCCCATGGTAGGACCCATCATGCATATAACACGAGTCCTGTGTATGATAAACTACAATAAGTCCAGCTGAACTGTCTTCTAATAATTGGCCAAATTAACGGCGGACGTGGGTTTATGCAAACTCGTCAATCAAAGAACTTTATTATTGTAAAAGTAAGATAATTCATCCGTCTCATACAAAGATATACAAATATGGTACAGCTACACAACGGTGTACGAGTCGATTTTCTCCTCTGGATGTTCTTTCCTCTGAGTAACCCAAGAGAACAATGCCACGAAAACACTCTTTTGCGTTCCAAAGATCAACGCCTCCACCAATCCGATAGAAGCCAGCCAGAGGTCTGGTAAGGGTGAGGGAGGAGCCCAGATGGACAAGAAACCAAACCTATTACACGTATGAACATTAGCTTTGTATAACTTCTAGAGTCCCACCAGGGTTGAACAGAGAAGACAAAAGGACGTACACAAGCCCTAGAAAGGTCCACGCTCCAAATAGCATCACGCGTATCAACATGGAAATATCCACAGCTTCAGCTGTGACATCCTTGCGAAGTGCTCGCCAATTTCGAGTTATATTGACGAGTATCGAAACTAACGAAAGTAGAAGGGGCGAAATCAGAGATTATCCTTTGTCACAGCTTGTACACGTACTTTCCAGGATGGTTGCAATCAGGAGGACTATTCCACAAAACGTGCTGAGACCATCCGAGCTGGATATTTGTTAAACGATGAACAAGTGTACGAGGGGTGCCTTACTATGGGTCAAAGTCCA